AAGACAATCTGAGATCACGGAAGACATGCGGCCATTTCTTATCTAGGGTGTTTATTTAACTTTTTGGATAATTTTCTGGCTTTTTAAAAAAAAAAATTATTTCAGCTTGGCTATAAAGAAGTACACCGGTGCAACAAACTACAGAGAGAGAATTTATAGCACTTTCACTCCGTGTGGGAATTTCATCTTCTCTGGTAGTGAGGATGGGATAGGATATGTCTGGAATACCGACACAGGTAAAAACGAAACCGTTGACTCATTGCACGTAATCTGCATTGTTCCTCTAATCACTGCACTGCTTTCCCAGGAGACCAGGTTGCAGTGTACTCGGAGCTGTGTTACCGCAGCGCTCTCCACGGCGTCTCCTTCCATCCGCATGAGAACATGGTGGCTTTCTGTGCGTTCGGTCAGAGCCAGCCGGTGCACGTGTACCTGTATGACCAAAAAGGTTCGTGTTTGTGTCACGGAGAAATGATCTGCAAATTGAATTAGATTTTATTTCCACACTGTCCATAAACATTTTGCCATATTGCAACCTAAGGGTTTCACCCAGTGTGTTATTAGCCTGGTGGGCCACCAGGCTTTTTTTAAGTCTTTTTAAAATGTTTGCATTTCTTTTAAGACTTTATAGTTGACACCAGTTTTGTAAAATTTGAAGAAAGTTTAGGGCTTCGCAGAAGGTGGTGGACACTTATTTACTGATCAGCTGATTTCTGCAGACAATTGGTCGTCCTTGTATTTGATTAATCGCATCAAATAATAAAAATGCACTGCCATTCGTGGCTGTAAAGTGACAAAGCGTGCAGAGAGCTGAAAAGGACACCGTGAACAGTTGAAATCAGCTGCTGTATTGAATGATCGCCATTCGTTGTGTCGATCCCGTCCCACAGTGTCCCAGCTGGAGATGTGCAACAATCTGGAATTGAGCAGATCAGCGTCTCTGGACGCTAAACCCGTCCAGAACGCTCCCGACCCCGTGGTGCCGCAGGACACACCGACTTTTTCCACCATGGACCAGTTTGGCCAGTTGGCCAGATTTGACCTGAAAATGCAGTGTGTTAAAGACCATCTGGAGTCGGTTCTTGTAAGAAATTGTCTTTTCTAACAGATCTGAGTCTAAATGTTTAGACCTTCTAGATGTCAATCACTGCTCACTGTTGTTAACCGTGTCAGTAACATCTCCTGTCTTCGGGCTGCATGTAGGAACCATATCGAAGGAACTCAGCTGTTGGGCTCGGTGTCGATCAAGGTTGTAAATATGAAAATAACTTTACTTAAAAATACCAAATTAATTGCATCATATATGTTTGTTTTTTTTTTAATTTACGTGCAGAGTATATATATACATATATATCGTTTGACTATCTTTGCAGACAAAACAGGCACGACTCACGCAGCCAGGAGCTTTACGTCTGATGTTGCCACAGTGAGTTTTATATTCGTGTGCCTTTACCTTTATTTTGGAAACGCATTTTTGCTGCCACCTGGTGGTTTAAATGCTGAAAAGAAAAATTAATCAGATTTAGCTTTTGTCAAATATCTGTGGTGGGGAGATTTGTTTTCACTGATACTTAAAATATCTTATTTTCTATAATTTGTACCTAAATAGCTTTAGGCATTTTTTTTTTAAAGATAAAATGCATTTTAAAAAGTAAGTTATTTTGCCATAGATTTTGCCACGAGTGCAGCTCACCACATTTATATTGTACAAATGTATTCCTAGATGTCATTTCAAAGGATAAAACTCACATTATGTATTTTCTTTCTAATTTTGACGACGGCTAATAAAAGCCCCAAATTTTGTGTCTCAAAAACATGTATGTAATTAATAATCATCAAATTGACAACAAATTAAATACTTGAAATGTTTCACTATGCGTAATAAATCCATATTCATTTTACGTTTCGAGAGGAGAAACGGCAACATAGATGTTTTTAAGACGTTCACATTTTTCTGAGCTGTACTTGTGTTCGTCAAGGCAAATGGCTGCTATTGTGAAATACATTTCTTTGCTTCGCAAATCAACACCGCGCTTTCCTCCCCCCGCCCAGAAGGGATTAAATGCATCACTACCTCCTCCGTCTCTGCTGTCGCCCCACTCCAAGCTGCAGCTCTCTGGGTCTTTGGCGGACCAGCTAATACCCCAGGCAGTCCTGAGCACACAAAGCCGTGAGTGTCTTGTTCAGTTCAAAAAGCAGCATTACGCTTCAGCTCACAAGTAAGACCCCTTTCACAAAGGACTACTTACTACTTATTATTATTACTGTGACTTAAAAAAAAAAAAAACAGCAAGAACTTCGTAGTGTGGAGGTTCTGCATGTTAAGGAGAAATCTCCATGACTGCATGTTGTTCCTGCTGAGAATAATGAGTACCCCGACTGCTTTGAGCTTGCACTGAACTTCCATGGCTTCAATATGTCATTATATGTTTTTATGGTTTAATCAAGAAGAAACAATAAAAAATAAATAAATAAAAAACCTGGCCGGCACACCGGCATGGACTGGTCCTCAAGAGAATTTGTAGAAGGGCCAGCCATTCTGGCCTGAAGCCAAAGTCACAACCTAATCAGGTCAACACTAGGCTGGCGTTGCTTTCATTTACTGTGATGTTGTTGCTGGATGCACAATATTGCATCCAGCAACTGCACCAAAACTATGTCACTAAGCTTTTGGATTGAATGTCCCACTGTCCTCACAACACTGCGATCAAAACCTGTCTACAAAGAGATTGGTTTTTTCTGGATTCCCCCGGTAGGATACAGAGCGACACACCTCCAAATCGCACACATGCTAGTTGTCCAAAGTGATACCTGCGGTTGGTATGAATTACAGAACATCAGAGAAAAAAAAATCTCACCAGTATGAACCTCATTTACAGCTGAAATGAGGTTTTCCAGATTTGCAGTCGTGTACCTAATGGTTCTAGATGACTTGGTTGATCTTAACACTCTGAGTAAAAGGAGCATAAACAACTTATTGAGTTATGTCACGTTTCAAAGTCACTTTTTTATGTTTCCAGGAGGCATCAGTCAAAGGATGAAAGGAGCCTCATCTCTTAAACTACACAGAGTAAGACTTTCTGAGGTTATTTCTTTTTGGTCAAGGGCTGTCAGCAAAAAAATGAAATGCATTCACAGGTTTAATGTAATGTTTTTTGTTTTGTTTTTTCTCTCTACCATAGTCACTCCCTGACCAAACCTCTTCAGGTTTTTATGATCCGGATTCTGCCCGTGTTCAACAAATAGTGAGTTTTCACCGTAATACTGAACTCGCTGCCATCCCTCCGTCCGTTTCTGCTCTATAACCCATTTCATCATGGGGATCTCTTCCGTAGGTCGTTTCCATCTATAACTACGAAGCGAATCGATCCGATGAACTGACCATCCGGCGCGGCGACGTCATCCAAGTACTGTACAAAGACAATGACACCTGGTGGTTCGGACGCCTGGTCAACGGGCTGCAAGGATATTTTCTCGCTTCTTACGTAATCGATCGGAGTAAGAGGCCCACGTTTTGGGGGGTATTATTGTATTACGTAATGGAGTTTGCAGGTTTTGTTAAAAAAAAACAATGTTATTGTTGTAGGTGAGTTTAGTGACGACTCTACAGAGAGAGACCCAACTTCGCTGGAAAGGCACGTGGAGAGGCTCACACCCACACGGGTAAGAAGCCAGGTTAATAAAACCAGCTGAATGGGGGACTTTGTCTCAACTAAAGAAGAGATTTTGTTCACGTGTGTAATAGATGTTTTCTTTTCTCTGCTGCATTAGTGGAGGCCTAAAGACAAAATGTAAAAAAAATCCCAGACGTTCAGATGGTATTTTAATCCCTCGTACAGATTATTGGCGGCAAAATGTCAACAATCCTAAGAATCTGAGAGTATTTTAAGAACAGACTGAGTTTCTCTTCCTCTTCTTCATTCACTCTGTGATAATTTAAGTTTGTTTTACTGTCCTGAATTATCACAGTTTACTGAGACTTTGACCCTTGCTGTGTATTTCTGCCAACAAAGCTTATCAGAGTTACTTAAAGCAGAGAATTGGTATATAGTGCAACAATCATTTTACAGCTTCCTGCCAACTTATTGCAGCCTGGACATATGTACAAAGTTGTTTAAGAAATCTTGTTAGCATTTATTAGCTCCCTCTGTAAGAAACATGTTTAGCTGTGTGGGTTTTTTGCTTCGTGAAACTGCATGATGACGGTACGTCTGTTGGGTTTCTTGTGGAAACTGATTGGTGTTTTGGTATCTTTTCCTGTCCCTCTTCGTTACCCGTTTTTCTCTTTTCCAAACTCACGTTTCAAGGTGTCTGCTGCTGTCAATTCTTCTGGGGAACTGCGGTTTCTCTCTGAGGCAACTTTTTCGGACACTGACCCTGAGCTGACTGATGCCAAGTAAGAGGCGTGCTTTGCTTAAATCCTCCTAAATTCACCAGGCTTGATCTCTTTTTAGCAGGTACACTGTGGAACAACAAAAGGGAGTAAAGTCTGAGTGTTTCCTTTCAGAACTAGAAGGAGGAGGAAGGTGAAAAAGCCGGGAGTAGCTGCGACTCAGACCAATTTCCCAGAGGTGGAAGCGTCGGGGTCGGCGAGGAAAGGCAGGCCGCCCCCCAGACCTCTACCAAAGAGGCCGACAGGCCAGGCCAACCGTGCCTTTCAGCCTGATTAATGAACTCTTTAAAACACAAGTCTGGCTTTTTTTCTTCTTTTTTTTTTCCATTTGTATTTTTAAAGTATATTTATGTATATTGTTCAAAATTTATATTTTTGTTTCTTTTGTATACATTTAGAAATGCCATTTTTCTTGCTGCTTTATTTATAAATATATATATAAATAAATACTGAATAACTTAAAATGTTATTTCATTGTAAAGATTTAGATATATATAACTTTCATACACTTTGGAAAAACATGTAATTCTGTAATCACTTTTAAAACGCAATCATTTTGTAATAAAACCTCAAGCTCATTTGCAGAATGATTCCACTAAATCATTAGAATAGTTCAGAATAAATTTAATAAACAACCAGGAAAGTGAAACAAGATAAAGATCCTGAATCCTAGATCCTGACGTGTGCTGCAGAATGTTAAGACCGCCAACACCAAAAGATCTCGGTACCAACGAGGCGGACGCTTTGATTTCTGCGTGTTTTCCAGAGCGCCGCTCTCCTTTCAGGATGAATCACTTGGAAGCTTGTGCCGTGTTGTGTTGTCTGTACGCTGCAGCACCAGATAAAAAACGAACGCTGGAAACGTTACAATTCCGTTGCAAGAACAACGCAACAAAAGCTTTCCCTTGTGTCGAGAAGAATCACTGCTGTTCCCTTTAATGTCAGGCGGAGGGATTCATCCGTTTAGGAGAGGCGTGTTTTCATCGGATGGTTGGTTATCTTCTTGCAGCCTAAAATTCAAACAGAAATGAGTGAATACGCAGCGGCTCCAGCTCGATAACTTAGAAAATGACGTCTAATTTGGGATTTATGATTACCTTTGCTGATTTCTCTTACAGAGAGCGTAAACCAGGAGAAGTAAGGCCTAACAAGAGAAGAACATTACTCACAGTATTAAGAGTTTGTCATTTTTTCTGTCTATAACATGGTCACTCATTAATAATCTTTTGAGATAATAACTACTTACAGCTAAGAGTCCCGTGGCACCCTGGACCGTCGCCGCCCATTCAAAGTTCAGGCGCTGCGTGATGAGGCCGCCCACTATAGGACCGTAAAACATCCTTCGGAACAAACGACCCGGTTAACGTTTAAACCCCGAACAATCGAACGCAAGCGGAGGAAACTGGTTCTGGACTCACCCTATGGACCAAAACGCACCGAACAAACCAGACACCATTCCGAGAGTGCTCAGTCCCTCTTCAAACCCTTGTTCACTGCAAATGAAAGAGCATGGAGGAGAAAAGAAACACTACGCGTCATGTGTGTCTGAACAAGATGTCAACATGCGGAGGAGAAACTCACTGTGCACATGTGATGATCTCAGGGAATGTGGGAATTGCAGTCATGCCCAGAGAAAATCCAATTAGGCCGAGCATGAACACCAGCAACCACAACTGACTTTACAAACAAAAAGAAAACATTAAGAAACAAAGTGTTTCTCGCCTGTTCTTAAAAATGACATGTGACTGTAGCAACATTACAAAGCAAGATTGTTTGTCTGAAAACAAGTCTGAAACATCTATTCTACTCATTTTGGATTTTTTTGTTTATTTTTATAAAATTCTTTAATTTTATGTTTTTTAAGAGGTAGCCTGGTAATGTTACAACCTCGCTGCTACAGGCCAAAGTTGTCAAAATGAAAGTACTTGTGGACTAATTGTACAGATTTATTTTTTAGTCAGTTTAAACTAAACACAATATTTGAACAAAACAAAGTAATCAGAATTTTGTAGAAAGGGAATCTTCAAATAATTGTAATAGCTACAGAACAGGAAAGGGATCTTGCTCTTGATTTTTTTTCATTGAAATACAAGTTCTCTATTGATTCCCATTTTCTTGGCCAGAAAAAAAAAAACAACTTACAAAAAAGCTCAAATTTGTCCCTATAACCCGATTCATCAATAATGACAACCCTCTAGTGTTTCTGGCGGATTCACTTGCTGAAACAAACCGTCACCTCTTGATGTGAAAGAAAGGCGCTGGACCGAGCAGAAAGAAACAAGCAGCGGTGATGACTCCTCCCGTCACTGTGAATCCTATCCTTGTGCCCTGGTCAGCAACGGTTCAAGTTAAAATGACAACTCGCCGCACATCCTTGATCATGTTTGACTCCTTTAACACTCACAGGGTACTTATCTGTGAAATAACCAATCACAGGGGACGCCAGGCAATACGGCAAGGATAAACCGATCATTATTAGTCCCACGTAGCCAGATGAGAGATTGAACTGAGAGGAACAGAAGAGAGAAATCGTAAAATCAGCACGATGCACAAGCAATGAAAGGTTCAGTTGATTTTATATCGAGGAAGCGACGTACCGTTTTCATGGCAAACAGTGACAAGGTGGCATCAATGAACCCCAGCCCTGCACTGAGTGTACCCATCACGAAGCATAACAGCAGGACTTTTCCATGGAAGAGCAGTCTGAAGAATGAGTCTTTGGACGGTTCGGCCTCTGATTTTAAAAAAAAAAAAAGAGAAATATAGCTCAAAGTCAGAAAAAAAAGGAAAATATCAAAATGACAAAAAATGTTTCGAATATTCAAACTCCTACCAATGGAGGGCAACACGTATATGTTGAAAGGAACAATAATCAGAAGCAGACACCCGAGAAGCAAAAATGGGACTTCGTATCCAAAGGAGTGGTAGAACCAGCCTCCCACAGGTGGCCCCAGGATGAGCCCGAGTCCGGTGAAAATCTCCAAGCTTCCCTGAAGAATCAACGTATGGATTAGCAGTCAGAATGCAGAGAGCCGCAGACGTTCCCTTCATATTTCGACGGGTTTCAAGCACAAAAAGAAGTCTGTTTCGCCAGGACCAGCACAGAGTGGTTTATCCAGATCCAACTTTATTAACTTTATAATGAATAAAATTGGATCTGGAGGAAAAGTTGTGCACAGTTTTCAAAGATGTTCACAGTTAAAAATCCAAACTGTGAACCGTGTTCATGCACTTCTTCCAGACACCACCGTGGATGTTATTTTTTCGTCCACATCTTTTCCTCTCTGACCTGAGAACCTTCTCACCTTGTCGCTCACAATAGTGCAGTGCTTTCCCATAAAAAATGTTCCCATAAAAAGAACGTTGAAGTTTGAAGTAATAAGACAAAATTGTTTTTGTTTTGAGCTTGGCATCAAAAAAGAACAATAGCGAAAAGGAGACAAACAGTGAAAGACATAAAAAGAAAAAAAAACTCCATCTATGGTCACCTTACTAAAATGATCGGTTAAGCCATTTTTGTAATTTTGAAAAAAAAAATAAATAAATAAAAAATCACCAACTTTTTATTAGGCCAAAAACACTTTTGGCAAAAAAAAAAAAAAAAAAGATTTCAACACGATGACAACATGGGAAAATAAAGAATTTCTAGCCGACACACAGAACAAGTGAATGAGAGCAGGAAAGTGTTTCTCATGGGTCTGGGATGAACCAACACATACCAGCTCAAACTAGCTTTCTGTTTTCTCAAGACTAACGTCTCGGCTGCATACCGGTCAGACAAAGGAGGTCTGCTCTCACCAAAACAGTCGCCACATTGTTTGGGAAGATTTTCGCCGTCATGGCAAAAGTGGAGGTCATGGCGGCGGCGAAGCCCACGGCGTCGACGGACCTCACTATGAAGCACAGGCTGATGAAGGGGGCCCCCGCGGGGGCCCGATCCAGGAATCTGCCGTGAAACAAAAGATTCGAATCAAACGGCGGTACGTTTCAAGCGCAATATAGTGTTTCGCTTTTACATTTAAATGAGTGAAATAGATCCAATTTTTCAGTCTTAATTCATTGCACCAGCACATCTGTGGCCAACAAACTTAATAAAGTTGCTCACCCAAACATGATGGTGCACATCGACGATACAAGAAGTCCTGCGATTAGCATAAATTTAGCTCCAATCTGGACAATCTGCAAAAAAATAAATACATTCAAAAAAAAATAGAGACGAGAGCTGAAAAATTACATATGTGCTGATGAGAGACCATCAAATACTTACATATCTTCCCATCACCATAGAACCTATTAAATTGCAGACAGCATAGCACCCAAATATTAGACCAACCACAGTCTGACTGGCTCCCTTCTTTACAGCCTGCAGGGGAAGATTAATGCAAAGTGACCAAGAAACTCACAGCTGTAACAGCTTTTTAAAAAAAAAAGGACGTCAAAGCATAACCACCATATAGATCTACAAAACAAAACATCGCCCACATGAATGAATATTAATGCATATTAATTCGGGGCGTTTTAATTACTTTTTTTTTTTTTTAAAAGCAGAATTAAATAAATACTTACGCGCTTCATAAAATGGTTTTAAAGCCAGTCCTGTTGTGAGTTTCTAGCATGATTGCCCTGCTGGATCTAACCGTGTCTAGATTCAAGCGATCTGGTCTCGTCCACCAGATTGAGCCACTGAACCTCGAGCGTACCAAACCGGTAGATGCTGGTGAACCAGAGGACCTTTCCACCTTGAAGCAAACTCCCCACTAACTAACACACCCGCTCCAAAATCGACACCTTCAGGCTCGACTGAAATGAGAAGCTGTCCACACGGACAAGCTAATTGCCTCCGGGGCTGGAGAGTTTTAAAGGACAAGAAAGAGATGGATTGAGTAAGAGACGCGCGTTTGATGATTAAAAAGTGTGTTAGAAGGAGTCAAGGCTATGATTTCAAACCTAAGACGAGTGTCTCCTCTCTGAAGCATGCTGCAAGCCGTACTGGTCCACGACTTGAAATCGGTGCGGTTTGACAAAAAACATAGAAAAGCTTTCCAAACTTTTCAACTCTGAACGGCTCCTTGAAGTTGGGTCGTCCCAATTTCAGATTTTGTTGTCAACACAAATTTCATAATTACTCATCCGGTTGCTTCAGGCAACATCCCACTGAGTGACATCACACCACACGACTACTCATCAACTACTGATAGCACCACAATGAAGTTTTTAAAGGATCCTTGTGACCTTGTTGTCTTATCTGTGCTGAGTTATCTTCAAACAAACAACAAAATCACTAATGAATATTGTAATTATCTATCTGCAAAGTGCAAATGATAACACTCTGTTCTTCATTTTGACTTGTAACAGCCAGTAAAAGCCAATTATTGTATGATGACTGAATAAAAACACCATGGTTTCATATTTATATGAGCATTTGGGACAAAAATAAACTTTTAACAAAATCTAGTTATTTCTCCTGCAGCTGCACAAATTCAGACATCCTGACTATTAAACATAGAAATGTTAAGTATAGGTGTGACAGTTATTTTTGAGCCATAGGCTTCAGCAAAAACATGGAATAACCCAGCTAAAGATTTTGTGGGAGTTTTGTTTGTATGAAAAGCTTATAAAATACGGTTAAATCCCACAGGAGTTGAAACCGAGGACGTTCAAGTCATCTCTTCTGTCATTCACAATGAGAAACGACCGCATCCCCTACTCCAACATCTCTCTGGCCGAAAAGATTTGCAAGACGAACGCAAAGTCTAAGCGAGCAAATATTAAATATCTGCTAATTTTAGACCAAATATCTATTTTGGTAAACTTTTCTTTGCAAAATAAAAGTATTTGTAGTGATTGAAGTTAAGTGTACCTAACACATTGTGATATTTGCATAAATCTGATTTTGCTTCCAAACTTTTTACCAGTAGAGTTGAGTTTTTTTTTTTTTTCTTGTTTATGTATTTCAGATCATAAACTAATACCTTTTTCCAAAATTCAGAAGTTAATAAATGTAAAGCAATACTCTTACAGGCAGGCTAATTTAACAAAAAACAAAAGATTTGAGATTTATTTCCCATCATTCTGATCTCTTTTTTTTTTAAACTTACCTCATTGGGGAAAAAGGGGCCTAATATAGAGTAGCAGATCATTGAACTGAAATTAACAGATGCCAAAGATATTAAAGTGAGAATCTGTATTCTTGTCATTCTGGTAGGTTGTTCTGTTGTTTCAGCTGGAAAGGAGTTTTCTGCTGCTGGGGGGAAATAAAAGGGAACAGAAACAGAAATACTGAAGTTGGAACTTTTCCAGTCTGAGCAGCTTCATGCTTCTTTTGCATCAGGAGCAGAAGCATCGCACAGCAATCGATGGCTCTCTGCCGCTCATTTGCAGCAAGAAGGAATCTGACGGATATTTTACCGGAGTGACGAAACTTTCCACTCACCTGGCTGCTGGCAACCAACACGCGCGTCCATTTTTCTCTTTTAATTAAAGCTATTTTCAGACTTAAGGTAGTTTCAGGTGCCGAGACACAAACGAACAGGCGAAACGGGTTTCCTGAAAACAAGGTTAAATCGTCGCCGCTTCTGCCGGAGCGCGACGACACAAACTCCCACACTGGACCGACCAGGGCCGAAATGAGAAACTTCCTCAGTGACTTTAGGTTCGACCTTTTCAAAATAAAAGCCAACTTCCGGTTAGCGCAATAACAACAACAACAATAACAACAATAACAACAACAATAATAATAATAACGCATTTGTCACGCTATGGAGGACGTATACGGATAGTGAACATGGAAAAACAGCAAAAACAATTCAAAACATGAGAAAAATTATGAAAGAAAACGGGGGAGAAAATGCAAAGAGGGAACATAACAGGAGAAAAAATATATCAATGTAAGATATAAATAAATGCATACAGAATATATATTTATATATAAATAATGTGAAAATATTTTTACAAAAAAATACAGAATAGAAAAAAATGAGAAAAACAAATAGTATGGAAATTATAGTAATTATAATGTTAAAATAACAGATGTAAATGATAAACAGTTATTAATTTATGTTGTGCTCTTTTTTTTCTCCAGTACCGTGAACAGGAGATTGGAATAACAGAGAAATTACTCCACAAATAAAACAGTGGCAAGAAACATTGCAGATAAATAGATTTTATTACATTTTGGCTAGCACATAGGTCCTTACAAACCTGCATTTTTTTTTCTTTTCATCACAGAACAAGAGAAATAAAATCTGGCCGCAAACTCTTCATTAGGCAGTATCGCTGATGACTGGCAGACACTGTCTTTAAAGTTGCACAGAGGGGAAAAAGCATTGTGAAATTATATCATTGCACTTCTTGTTGCTCTCCAAGGCTTTCCCCTTAAAGTAATTTGAAACAAACATTCAATAATAATTTATCTTTTTTATACATTAGCACCAAATTTACATGAATCTCACTCCTGCAGCTCACTGCAACAACTTATAAATACACTTTTGCAAAATTATTTTCTTTATTTTTTGTCTGCAGATGTAACATCACAAAATATTTGATAAGTAAAAACAAAAGAAATGAAAAAAAGATGTTGGCAACATATAAGCACTTCTCATCTAAGCGCAAGTCACTTGCTAAATCCACAGTGTAGCAAGCGGCTTTATGTTTTCTTTTGCAATTACAACATCGGTTCTGTGTAGGTGGGATTATTGCACAAAAGCTCTATCTATTCAAAGCAGCACTGATTTCCAAATAGTGAAACTACAGCACTTCACATTCAAATGCAGGATTCAAGTAGCATCATAAACACCCAGCAGAAAAAAAAAAAAAGATTTCACTTTAGCTTACATATGGCACTCAAAGACTTAGTCAACCAGCAAATATAGGATTTCTGTAAACAAAAACAGTGTTTGGGCTGTACAATTACACGAATTATAATTAAATGTACAAATGTAAAATGCAAGCCTCAATGAAATATTACTGCCTCACTGAATCAAATTGTAATATTTTTTGCCAAAAGATGGATTTTAACGCTCATTGCATCACTTCATAGAAGTAACATAGATACAATGCCAAACTTTGCTCAGGTCTTTCAGATGCAATGACTCACTCATGAAAAGCATATAGCAGAACAAATCAAACAAATCTCGCCTAATCCTGCCCTGCAATGAGACTTGAATCAGCAAAGTTAGCAAAATCCTAAAAACAACGAATAATAAAACCAGTTATCTTTACTCGATTTCTTTTAAATAAATTTTAAAAAGTGCAATATTTGTGTTAGATATCCTATAGTATGGCTTAGAGGCGATGTATTCTAAATTTCAAACTCCATTCTACCCTCAGAAATTGCATTTGTTTAATGCGAAATGAATATCAATTATGTAAAGACTTATCATATCAGACCTATCACTTATAATATTTATTCTGTTGTATTTCTGAACGACAGCATTAAGTCAAAGTTCTGGATAAACTGCTTCCATCAGTACTTGACAAGCTGACTTTGCTTTCGATACTAACTGTGAATCACAAGTATGTGAACAGCCAAATCAAAAAGAAGAAAAATCAGGGACAAATTGTAATGAATGTGTCTCAGTCCCGAGCATCAGAGTCTAATACCAGTACAGAACAGCAACACCGGCAAAACAACTCTTCATTTCAGCCTTTGAGTCACATTGGCCAAGGCGACAGCAAACGCCTGCACGGCCGAGAAAGGGTACTGGAAATCCAGGATGTACGCGTTCCCGTCGATTCGCCCAAACTGCATCACCTGAAAGAACAGAGAGCATCAGAAACACGACACTTACTGTTTCAGAAAGTTATTCGGTCATCATTAAAACTCTTGCGTCATTGCTTTTCACATTACCTGCCTGCCATCCAGCTCTATCTGAAAATTTTTTGCCGACTCCTGAGTGACCCGACCGCCAAAGTCAAGCTGATAGACCTGCGTAGCCTCGTTCCAGAGCGGCTGCTTATTGGCCATGATATAGACAAACCCTTGGCTGCCTAAACTGCGGTCCTCTCTTTCGTTGGCCTTGCGGCACTTAATCTCTTCCAGCTCACTTGCCATGCGTAGGCTCCTCTTGTTCTTCCAGCTCTTTTTGCTACTCTGATTCTGGTTCATGAGCTCGTCGCCACTAATAAACAGCTCTGGTTCACTTTCGGAGCTGTCCTGGAACTCGTTCGTTGTCCTGCTCATTTTCTTAGTCTTATTGAGTTGCTCTCTCTGCCCCTTTGGCTTCTTCTTCTCTCTACTGCCAAGCCGTGGGCTGGAAATGAGGGTGTTGAAGTCAGAGAGCGCCCGCCCTTCCTTTCTCGATCTGCTCTCAGAGACTGTGGGCATGTTGCCCTCCTCTGCCCTGCTGTCGAGCCTTTTGCGGCTCTTCTTGCTAAAGCGTTCCGACTCCTGAGGAACGGGGCTTTCATTAAGGGATGATGGCTCGGGAAAATTGTTGGCAGAATCTGCTTGGTCTTCAGTGGCACTTTTGGATGGGACCAACTCAGTGGGCGGGGGAGGAGGTGGTAGCGGAGGTGGTGGAGGTGGAGCCGTGGGAGGAGGTGGGGAGAGTAGAGGCTTTTCTAAAATCTGATGAGTTTTGGTCGGCAGGGGAGGAGCTGGAGGATCTTGCATTGGTGGTGGACAGGGGTAAGGGTTCCAAGGATGTAAACTGACAGGGTGAAGCTGAAGTCCAGCGCATGAGCTGGCTCCAGGATACAATGGAGGGAGAGGACAGCAAGTCAAGTTAGCCAAGTTTGGAGGGTACGCTGGTGGTAAGACCAAACTAGGATCCTGTTGGGCAAAGGATACTGAGGTAACTACATCATTTGGGGAACACTGTGGTGGAGGGTTCTGTAGGGTCTGTAGTGGAGGTCCACTGTGACCCACACCAGGGGGGAAAGGTGAGAGGGATATCTGGTATCCAGATGGGAAGGTAAGAGTGCTTGTGTTCAGACTGGTTGGAGGCTTTGTTGTGAGGACAAAAGGAAGCCGAGTAACATCCAAGTGCTGAGCCTGACTGATGATGAGCGGGGGTGGTTTAGGATTTCCTGGTGGCGGGGCTAACATCGTCTGCTCTGGAGTAAGCCAGAAGTCCTCTGCGGTGGAGGTGTCCCATTGATAAGGCGGAGGGCGTTTGACTGTCATACTGCCATCGCCCAGATTCAACTGACGAACAGATTTCTCAAGGTGACACTGCTGATTCAGCGTCTCGTCTTCAGTAAACGCAGAGTTTACGTACACTGTTCTGTCCCGGCTGTTATCTACTGCTCCCAGTAGACTGTAAGACGACTGAGACGCCAGCGGTGAGGCACTTTTGGAGTGCACTATGATGGTGCTGTGATGAGCCCCTTTGCCTGGTGGGAAGTCTTGCCTCACAACCGTGCCGCCTGCGATGCCACTACTTGTAGTGCCCCCTCCGGTTACACTGACACTGGTGCTACTGCTGTTACTGCTGCACTGTGTGCACGTGTACAACGCAGTGGGCACCCTCTGCTGGTAGGAAAGAGACAACGCACTGTTCATTTTCGCCTTGGTGGGCAAAGTTCTCGAGCTGTCCATCATTTGTGGCACTTTGAGTCCCACATCTCTGCGCTCACGACGTAGAGTGGCATGAATCAGACTGCTGTCGATTTTCTGAGGAGGAGGAAGAGTAGCAGTTACCTGATTGGCCGGATCTGGGTACGGAGGAGGGTCTCCATTTGGTATAGAATACCGAGGGACAGACAGACGACTCAACGTGGCTGAGCTGTATGGTAGTTGAATTTTTTTATTTTCAGTGGAAGTCACTTTAAGAGTTGCAGAACCTCCAATGCCATGAACAGAGTATGCATTCTGATTGCGAATGAGGCGTCTCCGTGGGCGACACACCTCCTCTACATTGCCACTGCTGTCAAAGGTGGTGATTCGTTCGTACCCCAGAGGTGTTGGGTATTGCAAAGTGACCGGGTGAAGCAAAAATTCGTCTTTCTTCAGGCAGGGATCGGGAGCCAGGACACTTGGGCTGTCACAATTTGTAATGAACGTTTGAGGAGCAGCAGCTGCTGTAGCCGCTGCCGCAGACACCACGGTCCCTGGGTACGGAGGTGGGGGGTTTACTTTCCTCATCTGGATCTCCACAGCTCCATCTGTGTCACTGAAGGAAGGAGGTAACGTCCGTGGAAGAATTGGCTTCAGCGTATGTGTGTGGTCCCCCCTGTCCAGCTCAGGCACAGCGGTGGGAGGAGGGATTGAAGGAAGAAGATGGATCTGTTGTAGGGAAATGGTCGGATAGCCAGTGGGAGGCGGTGGCAGCGACATCTGCATTTTTAGCTGCTGCTGCATTTGTTGGTGCTGCCTCTGCATCTGCTGATGTTGCTGCTGGATCTGCTGATGCTGCTGCTGCAACTGCTGCTGCTGCTGCCTCATCTCCTGGATCTGCTGCCGGATCTGCTGCTGCTGCTGTTGCATTTGCTGCTGCTGCTGCTGCATCTGCTCGTGCTGCAGCTGCATCTGGTGCTGCTGCTGTTGGATTTGCTGCTGTTGAAGCTGTTGAGTTGCCGCCTGCTGTTGGGTCTGTTGGACTGGCGGGTGCTGTTGAGCCTGGTGTTGATGATGTTGGGTCTGTGGATGAAGATTCTGTGGGTGATGCAGCTGCTGCAGCTGTTGTGGCTGTTGCTG